GTCCGGACTACCGTTACTCCTCGGCCAGGGTGCATTCCAACCTGCCTAGTGAGGGAATGAAAGATGGGGAGTGGATGGCCACAAGAACAAACAACAGAGATGGAAGATGGAAGGCGAGGAAGATGATGGGCAGGAGAAGTCACAGCACAGATCAGGGAGGTTCAGGGATGGACTGACTGTGAGGGTTCACAGAGGGCAATATGAGCAAGCTGACTCCTCAGGAACTTGGTGCAGGGGCCTGTCACACAGTATTAGCCCCCAAAGCTCAGCAGAGGGCAGTGGTGTGCATGCATGGGGTCATTGAGCCAGAGGGAGCAAGTAGGGCAGTGAGAAAACAGGGCTATGGTCTCAATCTCAGGGGGAGGAAGGTGCAGGGAGACAGACTATACAGACTCTTTCTTGAGAAAGCCTAGAGAGACACAGGGATGTAACATTTTAAACAGGATTTTAACTGGTTGAACTATATGGTTAACCAGCCTGCCATGTGTCACGGCAGGGGCCATTAGCATAGCCCTCTGCCTGTAATGCAGTCATCCAGGCACTTGTTAACCAGTTACCTCAGTAAGCACTCAGTTAAGACAATACTAGCCAGGTAACCAATTACCCCTTTAGATCTCTAGTGGGAGATTGGGCCCCACACTTCCTAAAGCCAGCCCTATCTGTATGTGACTGACACATAGCTATCTCCATATAGAACAGATCAATGGCAGGGATTGTGCCTCTGAGGGACAATTTGAATAGTTTTGACGGGGCCCTGGCACCCAGGATTTTTGTTGAGCAGAGAAAAAAAAAAGTACACCACACACCAATGTTTTGGTACATTGCGTCATTAAATATCACGTTAGTTAAGAGGGACTTTATTGTACTCCTCACCTATGTTTTTAAAACTATCTTCCTTAGTTTTTGTTCAGCAAAATCTTTCAGTGAAACGAGGCTTACAGGCTCTGACAAAGGGTTCTGGGGTCGGCTGATCCTAATCTAGACTACTGCATCGTGCTGACAATCAGCTGATTACATCAATATGGCCGCCACGCTGTGCCAGCCATATTGATGTAAATGAAGCGGCGATTATTTAAATCGCCGCTTCATTTTGCTATGTCTAGTAAACTCATCTACATGGCTCCAACGGAGCCATATAGTCTAGACACCCATTGATAGAAGTCACCATGTTCTAAAGATATTATAGGTTTTCACTTTAATAGTAGAAAAATAATTTGTTTTGATAGTTGTACAACTGATTTTCAGATGTAGGGCCTGCGGGAAAGCGGAGTGCAATGATGCTGTGGCCAGATGGGGGCTTGGCCCCAATTGGGGGTTTGTTGGCCAGGCTTCATTTTTAAATAGAATACTATGTCAAACACAAAAAGTTTCTTCATTGCCTTTATTTCTGAGAAGGGCAGAGAACCTGTTTTGAGTCAGAGGTCACTAACCCACAGAAGAGTCAGTTGGGGCCACACAAGTGAGATGCAAAAAAACCCTCCTCCAACCCCCCCTCCCCCACCAAGCTTCACTAGTGTAGCCCCAACTGTGTTGGTGGGAGCAGGGGACATAGTACTGGGGACAGGTTTCTGCGGCTGGGGAAGGGAACAGGAGGGAAGTGGGGGCAGAGAGTCCCCTGCACAGCTTCTTCCCAGCATTCTCCCCTCCCCCCCCC